TTATGGGCCAAATACTTATACTAAATTGCATTAGCTCTGCCAATAATCATTATTATTCATGTTGTTATTGGAAAACATTTAATTTAAGCCTTCACAAATATCTCCCAAGTGTCTCATATTATGAGCAATGTTAAACATTTGGCAAAGTTCTTTGTTTTGTAAATATTGGTGGGACTGAGAAAAAGAGGCAGAATTATTCTCATCAGTCTTTAAAGGTAATGGAAACCCCCAAAAACATTTTTTGGTATACAACCCAAGTGAATGTATATAAAAAATAACAGGGCCAAAATCCTACTGATGGAGGGGTTAGATCAAATGCCCCCCCAAAAGAACTGAAGATACATGATAACGCTTTACTCCAGAAGTATTTTTAAAAAGTTCTAGCTGGACAAAAAATGGTCATCATTTGAGAATTTGTGTAAGCTACTTAGATATGGTGCTTGACTGCCCATCTGTTCTTCTCAGGATCTTCATCTGTCAAATAAAAAAAATCATTTTCTTTATTTCATAGGAGAACTATTAGAAATAAGCATCGAGAAGCTTCACAAAAATGTTGGAGTTTTTTTAATATCTTACGTACTGTATATATATATGACACATGGTGGTACAGTATACTGTATATAACCTAACAATACGTAACATGGGGAAGGGGCAGATAGAATTATTAATGTTAATAATGTAACAATATTTTTATTGTGGTTTGTTTAACACACTGTCCCAGGCTTGTGATTCTGCCCGTATATTATATTAGCTTTGCATATATTTGCTTCTCTTTTGTCACGTTCTCATAAAACGCTAAATAATAATAATTAGCATCGTACAAAATATTAACATTTAATTCTTTGAATGAATATACCTCATGTTGCTGCAATCTTACCATAAGATAGTATGTACAGTGTATATAATTTTACCTAATGATATTTGCAATAGGTATGTTATCCTCTGAAAATTGGTCCCCTTACTTATCTGCTTTTGATTATGCTCAGAGTATACTGAAAAACTCCTGTACTAATTTCGTCCAACTCTGAAGCCACATAGTTCATACATGAGGCTGTCAGACATGAGTAGTTGCAGATGTCAGTGCGCCAGTGGCAAGGAGCCAGGAAGATGGATTAAGGCTTAGTCACTGAAAAATGCATGCCAGCATATTTGAGACACCAACACTGCGGCCACCTCATAAGGAAAATGTGTCATGGCCAGAAATCGATAACCTCTTGGAGGCAATATATTTGATTAATTATACTGGTGCATGCTTGGCAGTGTAGCTTCATCTAGCATTTGCCTGAGGCAGTACTGTAGCCACATTCAAAAGTCAAAAGTCAAAAATAATTTTGCTTTTAAAAGTTCAGTGCATAGATATAATTATGTCGCTGTAGCGGGCTTTATTGTATATAGTGATCATTGCATGTTTTTACTTATGAGCTACAATAGCATTCGTTGAACTTAAGCAAATTAAAATAGCATAAAAGGGCTGCTTTCTAGAATGAAGATGCCTCATAAAACAACAAAAATATACTGTGAAACAAGTTCAGATCAAAGGAATATCTAGTCTCGCAAAGGAAAATCTATCCACAGGTAGCAAGAAGAGGGCCCCTCCCACTTGCATTTTCCATCAATTGGTAGTTATTCTTAAGAAGAGAAGCACTGGAATGACTCTTTATTAAGCACAAAACCTTTCATTTTTCATTCTTTTTTCACTCTGACATTTCTGTTTCATTTGATTGCTCATAAAATAAATGTTATGCACTTTAGAAATTGAAACTTGGAACACCTGAAGCCATGGGTTACTTCTAGATATGTATCAAGTGGGGTGGAGACTGGATGAGAGTTGAACAAAACGTGGCAATTTATAATGTAATTTATCTTGAGATCTGGAAGACAGGAATTCTGGTTGGTGACATTCGTTTACACTTTTTCATATTTAAACCTCTGTTATGTATTCAAAACAATTTGCAGCATGCATCATTGTAAAAGTCAAAACTTGGCTATTTTGGAGGATATGCTGTTTCCTGGACAAATGCTTGAACTTGGGACAGGCAGTAAAAAGCACGAGTAAAAAGTTTGAGAGGTTGCTGAACATTGACAAAGGATGAGGGCAGGAGTGACTAGTAGGTGTCCAGAACGTCAATACGGAATAGGATTGAAAGGAACCTTGGAGGTCTTCTAGTCCAACCTCCTGCTCAAGCAGGAAATCTTATACCATTCTAAACAAATGGTTGTCCAATCTCTTCTTGAAAATCTCCAGTGATGGAGCACCCACAACCTGAGGCAACTCATTCCATTAATTGTTCTCACTGACAGGAAATTTCCCCCTTGTTATAGATTGGATCTCTCCTTAATGAACTTGCGACCATTATTTCTTGTCTTACCTTCAGGTGCTTTGGAGAGTAGGTTGACCCCTCTTCTCTGTGACAGCCCCTGAAATACTGAAAGAGTGCTATCATGTCACCCTTAAACTTTCTGTGCTATAGGCTACTTTGTTCTCTTGACCATTCGTCATACGATTTAACTTCCAGAACCCTTATTATCTTCGTTGCTCTTCTCTGCACTCTTTCTGGGGCCTCGGCTTCTTTTTTGTATTGGGCCAATCAGAACTGGACTCTGTATTCCAAGTGTGACCTCACTGATACAGTATTGAGCAGTACTATCACTTCTTGCAAACTTGATGCTATCTCTTTGTTGATGCATCCTAGAACTGCACTGGCATTTTTGGGAGCGGCAGCACACTGCCGGTTCATACTTAAGTGGTGGTCCATTAGGTCAGGGTGATGGATATTCCTGTGTGATTAGAGTCCATTCTCAGATGGTGTATTTATATTTAACAGAGTTCTCTTTCAGAGGTTTTTTTTTTTTTTTAGGAACCTGACTACCCAGTTTATAATGTGGAATTTTAATTTTGTACTGATAATTGTATCCATTAAAGAAAGTATACAAACTGGATTTCTTCCTGCTCCTCATAATCAAACTTTCATATGTCACTCTGAAGCAGACTAACCTACAGTTGGTCTGCTGTTGATTATTACAATATTTGGTTATCAGCTGATGAAAAAAGTCTATTAATGTAAGTATAGGAAGTGATAGTAGATGAATTGTGAACTGCTTCATTCTCTGCTTACCCAACTAGTGTAGCAGCTAGGATAGCATCAGGAATTATATGCAGCATTCTGAATTATATCACTATCTATCAATTAGAAAAAGACACCTGAAGAAAATTGTTGTGAATGGATTGTAGACCTGTTCCATTTCTGATTTATTAGTAACAGGAGCCATTTAGAATAATGAAAATTTTGTTAGTAGAAATAACAAAGGAATAATGACTTCCCCAATCAAGCAAAATAATTCAATAAAATGTTTTATAGCTTATATTGCATGAATCTTAAAACACTTTACGGATTCCTGGGTTTTTGAAGCATAAATAGAAATTAAATGTACTTAATATTCTCATTAGAAACAAATATTTGTATAATTATTATAAAAGATCGAGACATCAGTAATATCTGTAGATAGCTTTATCCTTTATGAGTATGTCTTACCATCTTTTATCCTATCCAAATACTGCCTGTAATGATATCTTTCATTGACAAATCACATTAACTGTCTCCTATAAGAAAAATACTTCTGTTCTGAATATCTATCATTAGCTAATAGAATGAATTTGGATTTTAGTATTATATGAGAAAGGTATAGATCTGTCTATTCAATTTCTCCAGATGCATATTGTATTTATACATTTCTGCCATATTCTCACCTTTTCCCCTAAGCTATAAAATCACAAATATTGTCATTCATCATAGAGAAAACATTTTGATATTTTTTTCTGCAACTTTTCTACCTCTACAAGTAACATTTTTCACACAATACTTCAAGTGTGCTCACACCATAGATTTGTTTAAAAAATGATATTGGCAGTATTATTTTAATTCCCTGTTAATCCTCAATGTGAAACTTGTAATTGCCAAACTCCAGCTTATGTCTTTTCACTGAACAGTTGGGGAGGGGGCAGTGTTGTCATAATACCCATTGCTTGCATATTGAAATATAACTTAGATTACAATGCCAGTTTAAAGTAAATTTTCTGAAGTTCTTCATTGCTTTTTGTTTGTTTGTTTTAAATATCCAATGCTTTATTGTTAATTCCAGTTCCATTTTAAATGTATTAGAAAGCATCAGTTCTGAAACAGATTCTTGGGAGATTCTTTTTAACCTCATATGTTACTTTTGAAAGCTCTCCATTGATGTTCACCACCTGCTTCTTCTTTTTTAATCAGCTACCAATGATCCAGAGGGCTCCTTTCCTCTGATTCCATATATGCTTAATTTACTGGGATATCTACGTAAGATTCTTATGCACTTGGAACAATAGTAGCCCTTTGTTTCTTGCTTACTATCTTTTCTTTTCAGTAAGTTTGTTTTTATTGTTTCGGTATGCTGTAATTGTTGCAGCTGAATCTGCATTTATACTGATCTTTATTTGGTTGTTAACTATGAGTCTAAATAGTACCACTTAAAACCTAATGCTCCTGTATATAATAATTGACAGATCACACTGTGAAACATTCTGTTCAATCTTTACAAAAATCTAGTGGTTGTGAAACTGTATATAAAATAGAAACATTATTTGTTCTTCAACTTATGTTAATTATTACATTGTTACCACCAGCACTTTTGAGAGCTGGTGAGCAATTCTGCTATGGACATTGAGAAAGAGCAAGAAAACGAAGATACAGTAATTAATTTCAAGAAGGCCAAATGATCAGCACAGAAGAACTAATATACTTTGGAAAGTTGATGGGAATAGATAATGGAATACAGTGCTTGGCAAAGTTGAAGGAAGTTCAACAAGGATAAAAAAAATAGATGAAATGAATGGCTGGAATTAAAGGAATCACTGGAATGTTCTTGAGAGAGCTAATGATTATTGCTAATTTAATACATTGCTTAATAAATAAATTAATAGAAAACGCTTGTATGATTTGTTTTCTATCTTACTTTCATTGTAGCATACAACTGTGTTACCCTTTATATTAATTGAGATGAGAACGACCCATCATGAATATCCCAGCAGGATCTATGGACTGATTGCCGTGTGTACTTTTTCAGTTTGCTATATATTATGGTAAGAAATGCATTTTCACATTGTGAAACCTAATCACTGATATCTTAGTCTTACCAACTTCACAAGCAGGATTTGATGAAAAGTTTCACACTGTGTTCTTTATGATACTATATGGCTTATATTTTTAGGGACTTCCCCCCTCCCATAAGACATAATTTAAGAATTTGTTCTATGCCCCTTTCTTTTTCTAACCAACAGAATTAAAAATAAGTATTCTGTTTTCTCCCATCAATTTTCACTGTTCAGTTTCACAAAAGTGAAGTGTGTTCAAGTAAAACAAGATTTAGCTTGGGTCTCAATGTGAGGATTTATGTAGAAGGGTGCTTTAACTCAAAGCAAATGAAACATTGCCCAATTCAAGCTTGTATCTGAATCTGAAACAGAATTAAGAAACCCAAAGCTTTGATGTCCTGTATTGATTAAAATAGGAAAAGTACAAACTGTAACCTTTGTAAGGTTTTCTGAAGGAATGAAATCATCAGAAAATAGATGCAAAAAAACCCTCCTAATTTTTAAATGAGAGTGTTAAGTGTTGCATTTTTCATTTCTGACATGGAGGCAGAATTGTGCCTTATGAGGAGATTTATTGCCCAGTTTCAGGCTAATAGATGCAAATTGAATGATTGAAGGAAGGAAGGAAGGAAGGAAGGAAGGAAGGAAGGAAGGAAGGAAGGAAGGAAGGAAGGAAGGAAGCTTTCCTTGGAAGAAGGATGATCAATAGACTCAGGAAGGAGAAGTATAAATAATGCAAATCACAATTTTGTCCTATTCTACCCAAAACCAAATCAGTTCTGTAAGAAGTCTAATAAGCCCTCATAGTAATCTAGGGCTATAATACTCTTTCAGATTCTGAAGTCATAATATTTCAAGAGGTGAGTTTTGTTGCCTTACTTGTCAAAAGCATTTCTTTTTTAGGCCATGACTAGTTCACAAATCAGGGGATAATCCAGTGGAAAAGTAGATTTCTTGAATATCTAACAGTTTGCACTGTTAGTATGTCTGTAATGTTGTTAGTCTATAAACAAAAGTTGAAATTGCCATGGTTTCTAATTCTTGCAGAGAAACAAGAATTTTATTCTGTGTTCCCATATTAGAGGTGAGATATGTGCATTTAAATTATTTTTCTTTTTCCTCTTTCCTCTTTGCTTACCTTGGCCAGAAATTCAGACTTTTCTTTTTTCCAGGCATATTCAATATTAAATTGTCTATTATTTTATAAGATTGGGAAATGGTAAGGACTCAATAAAATGGGACTCTAAAATGAATTTTAATGCATGTTCCCTTCTGCTTATCTAATAATAAGCAGTACAACAATTGTACTGTTGAAGGCATTCATTAGAGTTAATAACAAATAATCTTGTATGGAAGCTTTATGCCTAAGGTTGATCAGGCCATTATTGTGCAATATTGAGTTAGCATGCATTCAAGGAGGAAAGAACTCCACAACAGAGGCCATCAGGTAATGTTTCCATGACAGCAGTACTACTTTTTGAAATTCCCTACGTAGACATTGCAAGAATATTGGTAATGCCACTCTTCCAGAGAAGAGAAAGATAATGAGACCAATTATAATGTGTTAAACAAACCTTGGCTGGTTTAACTGGTTAGTCATAGATAGTTCTGTCTTTATATTTGACGTAGAATTTGTCAGTTATTTTTTCATTGTTAATATGATCTTTCATTTATTTGTAATGTTGCTTTGAGGGCAACGAACAGTGGCAATTTATTCAAGGACATAGATTATAGAGTTCAAAAGCTCTAGGATTAATCCTGTACTGCTTCACCTTAAATTTGGTCTAGCTAACTGTTCACTTATATCTGTGTTGTCTAATCCAAAAGTTGTGAATGTGAAATTCCAAACTTGTTTTTTAAACAACAGAGCTACCCTGACCAATTGCATACTGGTGTATAGCCTAAATACAATAAAAAATAGGCCATTCTATACAGGTTCAGACTGATTTCCAGATTTATTTTCTCATTATGAACTTTTTGTGAAGTGATCCTGTTACACAAAAGAGAGGATCAGGCAGGGGGAAAAAAGATGCAAAAAGTTATGTATGGTGGTGCAATGGTTAAAATGCAGTATTTCAGGATAACTCTGCCCACAGCCAGGAGTTTGACCCTGACCAGCTCAAGGTTGACTCAGACTTTCATCCTTCCGAGGTCAGTAAAATGAAGACCCAGATCGTTGGGGGCAATATCATGACAGTGTAAACTGCTCAGAGAATGCTGTGAAGCACTGTGGAGAAATATATAAGTCTAAGTGCTATTGCTAATATTGTTTCTATCTATAGGGTTTGTTTTAGTTGCTTGAATTCTTTTGTTATGGCTTCCTAACTTTTTTTCAGTAAAGAAGTAAAGATTATCGAAATTCTAATGAGCTTACGTAAATAAGTTCAGTCCTTCCTGTTGAATGAAGCATGGATGCATGGATAGAAAGAGAAAGAAAGAAATCACAGATCTGTGCAGTGCTTTGGCTTCAAAGGCAAAAATGGGTTTTAGAGCCCGAGGGAAGTCACATATAATACTTGCAGTCTCTGAAATCAGATAGCTTTTCTCAGAGCTCAGTGCTGAGAAAAAAAATGCAGCTGCTTTAAGGAATTGCAGACAGGTGTTACACAAGCACCCACACACTTTTTGGACTTCAAATCTGAATATATCAGTGTTGCACATGCCTGTTATAGACAACAACTTTGAATATGCTGTCAGCCCCACCAGACTATCAAGAATCAATTCCACGGAAAGGCTAAAACTACATTTATTGAGAGTGGCTTTAAACAGAATCTTTGAATCTAATTGTGCTGTTTCTCTTCCCCTTCTTATACTCCACTGTATTAGGGAGGTGTCTGGGCCATATATTATATATTTGTTCTATACTTATGTTTTTCTCCTTGCTATTTTGCTAATGAATCAAACCTATCTCTGTTGAGATTATCTTCCTTGGTTTCTACGGATACCTCATTTTTTGTTGCTTTGATTGTAGTAATGTTAAATATATTGATTGGAAATCAAATAGTATTACAGTTGCTGCATAGAATTGGTTAGGTCTAGAGAGATTTCTGCTCTGATGGATGGATCTTTCCGTGGAGGAAGAAAACTATTGTCTCCTACTCAGGGTAGGATCTATGAAGGCTGTAATCCTATACTAATTTAATTGGGAGTAAACCCCATTGTGTGAGCAATCATGCATTAAACTGAGCCCTTAGGAAAACAAGTCAATATTTATTGTGTTTTTATTGAATACATCATTATTAATAGTATTTTTATATGTGTTTTTTTCTTAGGGTCTGTTGGATATATCATGTGACTGGGGTTTGGGTATATCCTCTCCTGCAGTATCTTGGTACAACTGCTAAAATTGTCTTCTTTGCCACTGTAACTGTAGTAATAAGCATGTTTTACTTGCTGGGTGAAATACTAAACAACTGCATATGGGATACACAAAAATGTGAGTATCAGATTGAGAAACTTTTTTGAATACAAAATTATACTTTAGTTACTTTTATTATATATCATACTTTTACTATTATTGTTGAAATATTTTTACAAAGAACTCCATTATTTCTTAAAATGTAAATATAATAATTATTTCATGTAATATTATTACAAACAGGATTGGACAGCAAAAGTGATCATTAGTGCTAGCTCATAGCCAAAAGCATCTGCCTGATTAGACTTTTTTTGCTTCTTTCCTGTCCCTTTTTCCCCTTCTGTTGATATCTTAGCTGATACTGGCTGTGCTTATAGAAATACTAAATCTAATTATTGAATTAACATTTTTACTGGATTTAATCAATACTCAACCAGTTCCCCTGGATTTATACAACAAAGTCATACTCACCCCATCCCACCCATAAAATAGAACAGGAGTAGCATATCTGAAGCCATTTAAGCGTGTTCTGAAGATCTCAAGAGCAAATATAAACATTGGTTTATTTTGGTTGATTGTAATTATAAAAGAGGTAGCAAAGTCTCTCAGTAGGTGGCAGAATCTTGCTGGGTTTAAGAAGGTAAACATGATTGATAGAAGACTTCCATAAAGTAGTAGGGAATAACTCATCTGAGTATGCAAGAGAAAGGCAGAAGCAAACAACCTCTTTATTGTTGCTAAGAAAATGACATGGATGTGCCCATGAATTCACTCACTGCTTAAATGTATTGACTTTGTATTAACTGTATTAACTGTGGAGGATGATGAAAATATTGAGGGATGATGTAAAATATTTGGAAAAAAATTCATCAATATCTTCTTGCAGATCGTACAGAAAGAAGGTTCAGAAATATACACAAGTCAGAGAGTTTTTTTAAAATAGTTTGTGAGTTCCTGACATATCTCAAAATAATGCAGTGTGAACATGCCAGATGCAGGAAACGAGATGGCAAAAATAGGAATTACAAATGAAAATTCTTAATCTGAACATATTTTTTTCTTTTTCAAGAGTTATGTTTAAATACCAGAACAGAATAAATAAATTGCAGTTGATTTTTCCAAGGTAAACCACTAACATGAGCAAAAAGAAAAGAAAGAAAGCCTATTCTCCAGGCCAGATTTGATTCACAAGCCTAGATGCTAGGATTTTGAACATTGGATCCATCAGCAATGAAATATTTTTCAACAAAGCTTAGATGACCTTTTTATAAAAGGCAATAACATTGTAGATATTTAAACCACTCAGTGGAAAATGTTCCTCCAGCAGCAAAGGAAACAGAAGACCAGAAATTGGCACCAGTGTAGTATCCAAAGCCAAAAAGCCTTTCTAGAGCCATGCCATTGTTTGTTTTCTTAAACCTTTGATTGCAATTTGATTGTTTTGAATTTGTCAGCAATACACAGCTCACTGTATTTAAACTATTGGTTTTAACCAACCTCAATTGTTTCCTTATTATGTATTTCATTACTATTAGGTTCCCTTGCACGCCTGCTATAATCAAAAGCAGAATATGAATATCTTTGAAAAGAGGCCATAGTTTCTTAGAATTTTAAGGTAGCCAGCTCTCCACACCTAGCAATTAAAAGGTTAAAGAAAGGGTCACATCTCCTTTTATACTATAAAAATAGCAGCCTCTAGATGATCATTTTTTCAACTCAATATAATTATACAAAAAAAGAAAAGAAAAAAAAAGAATAGCAGTATTAAAATAAATTGGGCTTTGTACCATAGCTGCATTTCTATACATATTTATTTTAGAGAAAGCCTCCTGAATAAACATTTCTAGAGTTAGCAAGAAGCCCTGAAATGAAGGACTATTCGGATCAAGGATTTAACTGTATCAACTACTTGCTGAATGTTTATTCGCAGAGAAAAGTATGTTGCAGTATTCTAACGTAAAACAATAACAGAAAACGTACCTATCATTTGTGAATTGTATGATATCAAAAAAAAAAATTTTTTTTTTACTTTTTAGAAAAAATACATTGTTAATTTTTAAAATCTGAATAAAATGTAGCTTATTCACAAATGAACCACTCTAAGTCTTACCATTGTACTTCAAAATGTATAGTTAGATTTTGTATTTGGTTGGAAGCTTTATATTTTGTTAACATTCCAACGCTTGCAATAGTGGCCAATATCTGTAGCTCGGGTGTAGAATGAGGGTGAAAGTTTGTTCTCCAAGCTTGTGGGTTGGTTTCTGAATGTTTCATTACCAGGCTAGGTAACATCTTCAGGAGACCTGACTCATCACAAGACCCTCACTTGTCACACCTATACCTCAAACCCTTATAAACAGAAGAACACTGACATCCCCTAAACTCTGCTGACGATGTTACCTAGCCTGATAACAAAACATTCAGAAACCAAACCACAAGCTCAGAGAACAAACCTTCATCCTCATTCCAAAGCTTATTTTCATGTATTGTACAAAAATCAGAACCTTAGTAGGTAACTTTTCAGATCAACAACTTGATTCAATGAAGTGAGCTGTAAAAAGTTTATGCTTTTTAGAGTAGAGTAGAGTAGAGTAGAGTAGAGTAGAGTAGAGTAGAGTAGAATAGAATAGAATAGAATAGAATAGAATAGAATAGAATAGAATAGAATAGAATAATAACTTTATTGTCACTTAGAATGTACACTAATCGGCATACATTAAAATGAAATTTCACTGCATACAGCTCTCAAAGGATCACCAACTCCAATATATACTACATAAATATGACAAAAATAAATAAATGAATACAGAATTATGCATATACCCACATATATTATATGACACATAGAAACAACAGTCTAGTTCAGGTTATGTATACATGTACGTAACATATTAATAAAATATGTTACTCTAAATGAACTATCAGACTCCTCCTGATTTTTGTTTACTATAAATTAACAGCTCTCCTCATCTATTGGGAAGACCAGTAAATTAAAAAACAATTTATGCAGAAGAAAAATAAGAATATTCACTTTCTTGTTAACACAAGCATTTCAAAAGCTGTTTTTCTGTTGTGATCAGGTATAGAAGAAGGAAAAGGAAAATCTAAATCAGACTGAACACAGGATAAAAGAAGAAAGAGGACCTGCGAACGGCATCTCATAACATCAAAAGAAATTTATATTAACAGTGCATTCAAAATATTTTTTTTTAAATGGGATGTTGATTTTATAATCTTCTTTGCTACAACATTGGAGGAACTGGGGAGTGGGTATACCTCATGTGCTGAACATGTCATTATTTATACACAGAAAGAGAATGTATCTTTCCGGCAACTGCATTAAGAATTAAAAAAAGATCTATTTTGTCTTGGAAACATTAGATAAGTCAAACTTGAATCATTTGGGTTAAATCATAACGCTGCATCTGTGAAAGGATGGATAAGCCCTTTTGAACAAATGTACTGCTGCCAGTACATCTGGATACAGTGGGGTGTATCTGAAGCATAGGGCATTCAGGTTTGGGGGTTGTCGATGAAAGAAAGCTCAATGAAAGATCCCCCCTGAGATATATATAAAACAAAAAGGGAGCACTTTTTAAAACCTGTTTTTAAATAATTCATTGAATTATTCAATAATTCAAATAACTTCTCATGGTACCAATAATTATATCATCTGAAAAAGCCATTTGTAATTGAAACATGCATATTATTTCTTGCATATTAATCAACATATTCCTTTCTCCCCTTACCTAATGGCCAAATGTTTTTTTCTCTATTCAGGTTTTTATAGACTACGACAGGTATCTTGATGAGCTTTCACCCTATCAAGAAATGACAAAGTTCATTCTCATGAGATATTTTTTCATTAAAACTTTTCCTAAATGAAAAATAACTCATGGGATACTGCTATAAAATAGTTATTTATAACTTAGTTTATAATCCATATTACACAAAGAAAACTGGAATGGAGATGCTTCTAATGGGAACAACTGGTTCTGGTGCCCAAATGATTCAGAATGACAGCGGGAGCAATGAGCATGCAGTGTTAGAGGTGAACAGTACAGTACAAAATTTTGGGAGCCTGCTGTAAGTTCCCAGGAGAAAAACAGGCAACTTTTATAGTGTTGTACACTAGAGAGTCGGTTGAAATGTTCCAGTCATGCCAGAAGTATTGTTCTTGAAATCGACTGCTCTAACTGCATGTTGATTTAAATTAGTATTAATCACTTCACAGTTGTAAAACAGGCAGCTTCCACCACACAAGCAGCACTTGTGTGCATATAACGTTTGAATGTAATGTTTGAAAGTACAGGTAGTCCTTGACTTACAAAAGTTAATTTAGTGATGTTCAAAGTTTCAGCGGCACTGAAAAAAAGTGACATGACCATTTTTCATACTTACGACCATTGCGGCATCCTGGTCACATGATTAAAATTCAGATGCTTGGGAACTGACTCATATTTCTGATGGTTGCAGTGTCCCAAGGTCATGTGATCACCTGTTGCATCCTTCTGACACGCAAAGTCAATAGGAAGACCAGATTCACTTAATAACCTTGTTACTAACTTAACAACTGCCGTGATTCACTTAACAACTGTGGCAAAAAAAATCATAAAATGGGACAAAATTCACTTAACAACTGTCTTGCTTAGCAATGGAAATTTTGGGCTCATTTGTGGTCATAAGTCAAGGACTACCTGAATATGTGTTTTGCTTGCCAAGGAAAGTTTGTGGAAAATTCTGATCAGACCATTACGATTTGGTGTGGCAATAGTGAGGAAATTGGTGGTAACTCTGATAAATGATCACACCTGCCAACAGAACTTCCTATTACAATAGAATGATTAGTAAAAGATCCTAGTAAATCGTTGGTATGATTGTCCTAGGTCTTTTGGGCTAGAAAAATACTTAGCAACAATAGATCTAAACAAAATCCAAGGGCAACTAGAAAAGAACTAAGTACTGAAATATAACATCCTGAAATAATAGGAAATAGCCAGAAAGGGCAACTTCGAAATGCATGTTTTTAAAGACAAAAAATGAAGGAAGAAGCAGGAAACACTCAACAAGATTGAAAGACCATCTTGTGTACCAAAATGAAAGGTTGGTGTAATTAATGGAAAAGCTTTAAAGTGAGTACCAAATATTATATACCATAGTACAGTTTTTCCCATATAACTGAGGAATTTATGATGTAATCCTATTTATGTCTAAGTGAGAGATTGGAATGCTATAATGGGGTTTGTTCCTTGGTAAGTGGCTTAAGAATGCATTCACTATTTGCAACAACCGCTAAAAGAACTCAGTTGAATCACATATCAGGAAATATTTACAGATGCTATAAATTCAAGGTATTTAAACACTTCAGTGGTACAGTGTAAATTAAGGTTTCATTGTCAACAATGTAAATTCAGTTTCGTAAAAAATAAATGCCTGCAGTTTTGTTAATAGTATTCAAGCATGTTTGTGTGGCAATGCTTACATAACTCATTTTTTGCTGCTGGGAGTTTAAGTCTGTATTTCTCATTCTCATTGTTTTATTCATTAATTAAGTCTATCCTCTGAGTTCTTGTAGCAACATCACTCCTTCCTTTGAAGCTATCTCTTCCTACTTCTTGTTTCCAAGGAAGTGACTGATGCCTAAAAACTACAATATGAATTCTTATTACTGGCCTGAAGTCTCATGTTTATTTTGTTGATAAGGATAATTTGAGGAGAGGTTCTTAGTGTGGGGCAGCTGAGCAAAGGTTATACAAATAGCCAATTACAAGTACTGCCAACTGATAAGTGAGAGGGATGGCCACCAGTGCCCCCTCTTCAACAAAAGAACAGGTAACAGCTATAATCTAGAACTAAGGAGAAATTTCCTGACATTTAGAACAATTAATCAGTGGAACAACCTGCCTCCAGAAATTGTGAATGCTCCAACACTGGAAGTTTTTAAGAAGAGACTGGACAACCATTTGTCTAAACAGTATAGGGTTTCCTGCCTGAGTAGGGGGTTGGACTAAATGACCTCCAGGGTCCCTTCCAACTTTTTGTATTATTATTATTATTATTATTATTATTATTATTATTATTATTATTATTATTATTATTATTATTATTATTATTATTATTATTATTATTATTTCTAAATTTAACAGCAAGTCACTTGGGAACATTTTAAGTATTAAGATTACAAAAAAGCTGGTACAAAGTAAAGAATTATGAATGAACTGGACATAAATTTCAATAGATCTATTTTTATTTATAAATTGGACCTTTTTCTGATTTTAAAAACTGGTTCAGAATAGCTTATTTTCAATTTTAAAGTGGAAAAATATTGGACATTGATAGCAAGCCAGTGATGTTTTCTGGTTTACAGAGATGCTCATGCTTTCTTACAGAATGTCTCAAAAATCAGTCCAGATACATCAATAATTGTAGGGTCTTGTTCTAAAGATGTGTATAAAAATGTATGATAATTTGGTCTGTCAAACATGCCAAAATAATACAGTTTTAGGTTTAGCACCACTTTCCATCAACAGAAGCTTTCTTGTCAACAAAAAAGCAGTAGGAACAAAATCTGGATCAAAAACTTATTCTTTTGTTGAGCTTTCCCAAGCTAAGACTAAGCTTTGAACTTATGTAATAATACCCCAGAAAGGTTCTTGGAACTGATTATTTGATTCCCAAATAATTGATCAGTCTTTAAATTGAGGGTCTCTTTTCTCTTTTCTTTATAGTTCTTTGGGTTTTTTCCGGCTATAATTGTATGTTAAAGCATTTTTTTAAAGTAGATGGCAACAAAAAGATTAGAAAATTAATACATTTCAAATATTAACAAGAGTCCCTGATTATTTCTTCAGAAATTCTTTTTTTCTTCCCTAATGCTCTGTTTTAAGAATCTAGTGCTACATAGATCCTTATCACACATTTTTGGACTGAATCCATTAGACTCTAGTATTAGATAAACATCTGGGGAACTCCCTCTAACAAAGCAGGTGTAAGTACAGTTCTTTTCTAGCACTGAATAAAAATAACTTCTTTATCACAGCAATTCTTTCTCTCCAACTTTTCCCCAAGTGACCAAAGGAATATCCTCAGAATACTGATGACATTTCATCTTATGGCAAGTAATCTTATGTAGATGTTCAATAAGAGAGAGCACCAACTTCTGTGGCACCACACAGGGTAGGTACCAGGGTAGGATCCTTCCTCCCTAATCATCACCAACTGGAATCAACCCCAGAAAAAAGAAGTGAACCAGCACAACATCATGCTACTCCAGCCCTAATCCTCTTGAGTTGATCCAGAAGGATCCTCTTGAGTTGATCCAGAACTGAAAGCTGTCGAGGGGTGAAGTAGGTAAGTAAGGATGGATGCACTACCACCATTTTGCCTATGCCAGATATCACACAAAAGTGTGACTTCTATTCCATATCCAATTCTGAAACCTAACTGAAAAGGATCCAGATAATCTGCTTCATCAGGATCTTCTGAAATTGCTGCATAACCACCTTCTCAATGCCTTCCCAAAAAGAGGTGGGATGCTGGGCAAAAACAGCCCAGTATTCAGGGATCTAGTGATGGCTTCTTGAGGAGGATCTGAACAAGGCCTCCTTAAGAAATAAAGGAACAACTCCCCTACTCAGAATTCATCACTTCTAGGACCCAGTCCTATGACACTACATGGGCCACTATCACAAGCCAGGAGGGGCAGGGATCTAAGGAGCTTATGACTCAGCTCACAGTCCTAAAGATCCTGGCCACTTCTCCAGGTTCAACAGGTTCAAACCATTCCCAGATAACTGGAGAAGACTCCCTCTAAGTCTAAGAGCCATGGTGGTGCAGTGGTTAGGAAGCAGTTTTGCAGGCTAACTCGTTGCTCACCACCAGCAGTTTGATCCTGACTGGCTCAAGGTTGACTCAGCCTTCCATCCTTCCGAGGTTGGTAAAATGAGGACCCAGATTGTTGGAGGCAATATGCTGACTCTAAACTTAAAGAGGGCTGTAAAGCACTATGAAGTAATATATAGGTCTAAGTCAGTGGTGGCGAACCTATGGCACGGGTGCCAGAGGCGGCACTCAGAGCCCTCTCTGTGGGCACGCGCACCGTCGCCCCAGTCCTAGGCCTTCAGCTGGGTTTTATAAAACCTTTTCATTTTAGGCCTCCGCCTCCATGTGCAAAAAAAAAAAAAGTTCAATCAGTCAATTTTAACTTCTCGCGGGAAAAAAAAAGTTCTTGCAAGTTGGAATTGATTGAACTTTTTAGTCCCACCCAGTCTGCCGTTACGACCTCAGCCACGCCCACCCAATGGGCCACACCCACCCAATGGGCCACACCCACCCGGCACTCGACGATGCATAAGTGGGTTTTGGGTTGCAGTTTGGGCACTCGGTCTCTTAAAGGTTTGCCATCACTGGTCTAAGTGCTATTGCCTTTGCTGTTGCTCTACGAACCTGCAACAAGGTAAGCATTCAATTGCAAGTGAAATCAGCCATTTTGAACAAATTCCTCTATAGGGTCCTGCAAAAGTTTCCTCGGGAGCCTCTAACCCAAGATGGCTCATATCACCTTAAAAAAAGTT